ATGCCGCCCCGTGCCCAACCAACAGCAGCTGCATCACAACAGACACCAAACGAGATTTTAAGTCTCCAGGCGCAGTTTTCACACGTGATTAAACTGCAGACATCCTCACCATTCAATGGACACGATTTCTTTACCTGGAGTTTTGAGTTCGAGCTGCTGATGGAGGCTGCGCAACTCTTGGGATACTTCAACGGGTCCCTGCCATTCCCAAGCAACGGCACTGGAAAGGAGCAAGAAATTTTTACGTATCAGTCGCTGCTGGCGTATACAGTTCTCCTACGGAACCTGTCACCACAAGAACAGCAAAGCATCAGAACGTATCGGAGCTACGGAAACTCTGCGGAACTCGCATGGCATCGCCTCAAGTGTCTCTATCAAGCAAACGACAGCGTGACACAAAGCAAACTCATGCAGCAGCTGACAACAATACAAATGAAGACCGGGGAAAAGGCGATGCAGTATATGAGTCGATGCCAAACACTCCGCGACCGCCTGCTTCGGTGCGGAGGAACAATCACTGAAGAAAGCTTCGTGACGCTCGTCCTCGCCGGGCTCGGGCCAGAATGGAGAACCACACGCTCGCTTCTTCGCGCCCACGGAAGGATCTCGGAGATGCACCTCTGCGCCGAGCTTCATGCTGAACAACAGGAGATGGACCTGTTCGAAAAAAGACAACCAAGAAAGCAGCAGCAGTTAGTTTTTTACACTCAACGAAGGAACGACAACAACTACAATCGACGCGGCAAGCAAGATCAACGCGACAACAAAGGACTCACCATCGTGCCGCCGTTCTGCTACAACTGTCAAACATCCGGACATTCCAAAGTCAACTGCACACGTCCTCGTGTTTATCGCCCAGTAGACCCACAACTCGCTTCCACTCAAGAAAGCCCTCCAAGGCGTTCTTCCAGATCTGCACAAGGGACACCGAACATCATCAACTGTATGGTACACATCGACAACTGCGCACCAAGATCACCACCCACTTACGCGCCAGACGAAGAAGAACTCCTGCCGCCGCGCTCACAAGGACTTCAAGTCAACCCGACATATGCTGCAGTCGCCAACGCCGAACCCACCGAACGAAACACCTGGTTCTTGGACAGTTGCTGCGGTCAACACATGTGTTCTTCTGGACGCTTCGTGCAACGAGAACGACGCCTCAACAGCGACGTCATCATCACCGTCGCCAACAACGAAAACCTGAAAACAAACAGACAAGGAGTGGTTCAGTTACAGTCCATGGAAACAAATGTCATCCTGCAACTCAACAAGGTCCTAATCGTTGACAACTTGGGACACAATCTGCTAAGCGTCAGCCAGCTCATGGCAAAAGGGATTCACCTGGAGTGCGACTCGGACTCCAACGAGTTTCGTCTTTACCACGGGAAAGGCGGCCTCTTCATCGGTCGTGCTCTCCTGAAGTCTGGCGTCTTCGTGTTGGACTTCGTCCCCGACCGCGGTATTGCCGACAGCGACGGAATCGTGTCGTTCGCCGCCTGGACACACCCGCCGGATCTTGACCCCGACTTCGACCCTGATGGGTTCTGGCACTCCAACACCATACCTGCAGCAGAAAGAACACGAGCATTAGCAGTCATCAGACAAGAAAGACAAGTACCAGCAAGTGTCCCTTCCCAACCATCACCTTGCAGTAGCAGCAGCAGGACCCAGCCGAGTACCACCACCAGCGATCCGCGGACCGCCAACTGAAGCAGATCAACTTATGCCCATCACACGAGAAGTCTGCCAAAGTCCCGCCACGGTCGTCGCGTTCTTCTCCAACACCGACATGTACCAACGCTCGCCCGGCCATCGAGCTTCCGACGACATCTGGCACCAACGCCTTGGGCATCCTGCAAACAGCACCGTACTACAAACAATCCAAGCCGAAGTATTAGAACGAAACGCTCTTCTTACAACAAGCGGCCAAGAACTTCGAAGACCTCGCGCACGGTGCTTCACGTGCCCCGAAGCAGATCTTCCCCATCAACCCTTCCCATCACATCACAATCCAAGTGCGCCTGCATATGCACCGATGGAAAAAGTTTACAGCGACATCTTAAACATGCCTCGAGACGACACGGAGGCCGACTTCAACTACGTCATCACTTTCATCGATGCAGCAACAAGATATGTTTGGCACTACAACCTCAAGACGCGCGATCAAGCCTTCGACGCCTTCACGACATGGCTCCCCATCGCCGAACGAGAATCAGGAACCAAGCTCAAGAGCTTCCAATCAAACAGTGCACTGGAATACCAGTCACAACGCTTCAGGACCTATCTGGCGGAAAGAGGAATCAGACGCCTAGTGTCTCTACCCTACGCTTACCAGCAATAGGGGGTCGCAGAAAGAATGAACCGGACCTTGCAGACGACGATGCGGAAGCTACTCCTGGGGATGAGACTGCCCAACGCACTGTGGCCAGACGCGATGACCCATGCAGTCCACCTGCACAATTTGCTATCCTCGTCATCGCTCCCCAACAACGCATCACCGCACCTGCTGTGGACACGAAAAAGGGGCAGCACAAAATTACTTCGAGTTTTCGACTGCATGGTACCGTACAGACCCCACACAGCCCGAGCAGGACGCTTCACTCAACGAGCTCGGTGGGGACTACACCTCGGCATCGCCAAACATTTTCACGCATGGAAAATCCTCGACATACACGACAAGAATACGGTGGCATCACGTGATGTTATCTTCTACGAGCGACTGACGCTGCAGCATTACCTGGACAACATTGCCAACACACATGACCCCACCGACGGCCTCGCGGGCCTTCGTTCCTTCGCCGACCGTGCTGCCGAGGCTGACGCAGCAGAAGAAGACGTACCTGGAGCCTCGGAAGCTGCTGGACCACTCCCTTTCTGTTCCGTACCTTTCCCACTCGATGAGGACAATCCCCTCGATAGCAACAACCTCGACACCTTTTACCACTTCGCTGACCAAGGTTACGTTACACCACACCCCGTCGACACGAATGTTTCAGAACGCATCGGCCCAAACTTCTTACCTGATCCAGAAGATGGTGACGAAGCAGCTTATTCCGGGAATGAAAATTCCCCTCGACACACACCCGCGGGACTGCAAATCCTCGGCCTATCGGTCTCCGTCCAGCACCCGCCGCCGCCATCTCCGCGCGAGCCCTCGACTCTGTCGCAGGCTCTGGGGGGGGAACATAAGGCGAAATGGAAGGAGGCGATGGAAAAGGAACTAAAAGCTCTTCAAGACCTGCTCTACATCGGTTCCACCACCGACATCGCCACATGGTTCGAAGGGGAGCTGAAAGGGGACTTGACACTCACAGTGTCCGACTCAATGACCCAGTACCTGGGACTGAATGTCGTCGAAGACAACTCGGCGTTCTACCTACACGCTGGAAAATATGCAGGCACTGTCGCGAAGAAATTTCGGTCTAACGCCGACTACGGTCCCGACTCCCTACCGCTACGGGAACAACAGCAACACCTCAGCAAAACTCCCCCGAAGCAAATCCAGGAGTATCAGCAGAAGCTCGGCTGCCTACTATTCGCAGCAGTAACCTGCCGACCCGATCTATCTTACATCGCGAGCCAACTGGCGACGCATCTGAAGCAGCCGGAACAAGAAAATCTCGAGGAACTTGATCGGGCACTACTCTACTTCGTCTCTACGCCGACGACCGGGCTTACCTACAGTAAAGTAACGACATCGTCCGTACAACTTCTCAGATACGTCGACGCCGACCACGCGGGAGACAAGGGAAATCGACGATCGAGAACGGGCTATATCTACCGACTAGAACCTATCGGGACTATCTCCTGACAGTCGAGCAAGCAAGAACTAATCGCACTATCTTCAGCTGAAGCAGAGTATATCGCCCTCTGTACTGCGACCAAGGAAGGAATCTACCTACGAGAGTTACTCGAGGAAGCAAAGATTGCGACCCTGCCCGCCTTCTCACTCCTCTGCGACAACCAATCTGCGATCAAAATCGCGAACAAGGACGGCTTCGCCAATCGAACCAAGCACATCGCCCTGCGGTACTTCTTCGTCAAGGATGAAATCGCGAAGGGGAGACTTCAACTCAGTTACTGCCCGACGATAGAAATGGCCGCAGACTATCTGACGAAGAAATTGGCGAAGGCAAGATTCGATTACTGCACGCTGCTGACCGGGCAGACAAACGTCACCGGATCTGAACACGTCAGCACTCCAGAAACGAAGGGGAGTGTTGGAAATATCTCAAAGGACTTAAGCGTTTCTGAAGTGTAACACTACACTCGAGGAAGATAGCAACGGGTATGCGAGTCAACGGAGGTTACACGAGGGGGCGGACAAAGAACGCGAAAGGACTCGAAAGGTCGCAACTGGAGGTTGCGACTGACCGTTACAACATCGCGGATGGTAACCGAAGCGACAATCGAGTCGCTGTGCGACTCGATAACCGCTCCTGCAACTGTATTCTACAACTGCTTTCTTATTTTCTATATATTGCTGTATGCTTATTTCTTTAATCAATCACTTGTTCTCATATACTAGTACAAGGGTTCAAACTACTCAACTTCCGCTGCACTACTCAAGTCTCATTCTTCAACTGAGACTTAGTCTCTAGAAAGATCCTAAGGGCTTTTCTCAGCCCAACAGAATCCAAGGAGTATTTCCACCACTCCCGCGGTCTCCTCAACAACATGTGACAAAGCTTACGCATTGCCTCCCTTGAACAAAAAATGTCGCATGGACGTTTGTAGTGTATTCGTTGAACAGCTGTGCACACGACAAGACATGCATAAAAGGGGCGTATGCAAATGAGTTCATTTGGTGACGCGAGGTTTGTAAACGAGCGTGTGAATAAGGGGGCAGTGAGTGGAAGCTTGGGCTACTCTGACAAAGGGGTTAGGGAACAACTTACAACATGCGTCATCCATCCGCTACGATTCCAACGCCAGCACACGTGAGCCTCAACGTTGAAGTTCCCACGGAATGCATGAGGGCGCTAGACCTTTGAGATAACAAAGGGTTTCCACATGTCGGAGCCATCAGCATTGCATAAGAGGGCAACCGTGAGGCGATCCTTACACCCGCGACCACCAGAAAGTGTCTCGGCGACATAGGTTCGGCGCGAGAGGTGCGCTAGAAAGAGTGTGGTCTCGTCAAAGTTGTAGCAGTCCCACGGCGCAACCCCAAGTAGTAGGAGCAAGATCGGAAGCACGACGCGGCAGTGGTTCACGGTGTCCATGTCGGCAGATTCGGCTTCGCCTTTGCGTGTGAGGCACCGTAACTTGCCCATTCGACCAAGGGCACGCGTAATCCAACCGTAGGAGGCGCGAAATTCTGGATAGCTGTTAGCTCTCTCCGCCATTACACTCGCCTTATGTAAAATGTTTTCCATTGTAAGAGGCAATCCATCAGAGGTAGCTAAGCGGATCCATTCGTAGAGCTCACCTTCAAGAGTTGGGTATGCGCCTTTCCTATTTCGAGCTCTGTGGTCGTTGCTGCCTGAAGAAACATTAAAGCCCGACCGGCAGGTTGCAAGTCCAAAGTCTCAAGATGCAGCATCCTGAGAACGTGTTACCCTATAGCAAGGGACTTTGGTAGGGACCTCGCGGCACAGGCCTGGGACATACAGGCGCGACTGGCTCGGTTCGGAACCCCCCGAAGCACAAACAGGCCAAGGGCCAACAAAACGAGAGCAACCTGGCAGAAAGGCACTCCCGAACAAGATTGCGAGCTGCTGGAAGAAGATGTGGGCATCCCTGCCAGGTTTCATCCAGGGAAAAGCAAAGCAACCACTGCCAGATCGCTATGCGGGGAAAGCAGGGCACAGCAAGTGTGCATCCTGCCGAGGCCGCTTGATGAAGTCACGCCAGCAGCAAACCGCTCCACAGCCTACAGCACCAGGCGTCCCTGTCGCCACCCCGCTCCTCCCTCCGCTCCTTCTCGACAAAGATCGCCAAGCCAGATATTTGACCAAACCAGATGACCATTTGTCTTGGTGAACGCCTCACTGCTAGACCTCGGGACAATATGCTAGCCTATCATCGGAAGCAACCTAGCCGCGTTTCCCGCTAGGCTTCCTCTAGCATACGGTCACACGCCGGCTTGTAGCGCGTGCCGCGGCGAAGAACCCGAAGGCGTCCGTGCCACACCGCAAACCCTACGTTAGAGGTAGCTCGACTGCGCCCTTACGGACAGGACGCTTCCGTCCCACGAGCACAGGGAAGGTTCTCGTGGGACAGATGCACCGACGCAGATACACCGCGCAAGCGCCCACGATCCGCGAACCCTGAAACGCTCGATCTGCAACCACGTGCGTGCCAGGTCGCGACCTCTGTTTTGTCAGACGAGGCAGCGCTGCAAAAGGCGTTGGCCAGATGCAAGTAGGTCGTATTCTGTGCCTCCGCACGTGCCTCGATGGCCGCGAGTCTTTGCTCGCTGGTACGGGGAGTGACCTGGCATCATTGCTCCTTTCGCCCAGCGAGAGGAGCAACCGCGATCCTGTCGCCCATCATCAACTCGCCCATTATCCTACCGGCCATTAGCTCGCCTCCCATTATCCACTCACCCATCGTGCCCTCGCCCATTATCCCCCCGCCCATGATCCCCCCGCCCATCATCCCCCCACCCATCATCCCCCCGCCCATCATCCCCCCGCCCATCATCCCCTTGCCCGACATCCCCCCACCTGACATCCCCTCGCCCGACATCCCCTCGCCCGACATCCCCTCGCCCGACATCCCCTCGCCCGACATCCCCTCGCCCGACATCCCCTCGCCCGGCATCCCCTCCCCCGACATCCCCTTCCCCGACATCCCCTTCCCCAGCATCCCCTCCCCCAGCATCCCCTCCCCCAGCATCCCCTTCCCCCAGCATCCCCTTCCCCCAGCATCCCCTCCCCCAGCATCCCCTCCCCCAGCATCCCCTCGCCCAGCATCCCCTTCCCCAGCAACCCCTCCCCCAGCATCCCCTCCCCCAGCATCCCCTCCCCCAGCATCCTCTCCCCCAGCATCCCCTCCCCCAGCATCCCCTCCCCCAGCATCCCCTCCCCCAGCATCCCCTCCCCCATCATCCCCTCCCCCAGCATCCCCTCCCCCAGCATCCCCTCCCCCAGCATCCCCTTCCCCAGCATCCCCTCCCCCAGCATCCCTCCGCCCATCATCCCCCCGCCCCTCACCCCCCCGCCCGACATCCCCTCGTCCGACATCCCCTCGCCCGACATCCCCTCGCCCGACATCCCCTTGCCCGGCATCCCCTCCCCCGGCATCCCCTCCCCCGACATCCCCTTCCCCCGCATCCCCTTCCCCAGCATCCCCTCCCCCAGCATCCCCTCCCCCAGCATCCCCTCCCCCAGCATCCCTTCCCCCAGCATCCCCTCGCCCGTCATCCCCTCGCCCGACATCCCCTCGCCCGACATCCCCTCGCCCGGCATCCCCTCCCCCGGCATCCCCTCCCCCGACATCCCCTTCCCCCGCATCCCCTTCCCCAGCATCCCCTCCCCCAGCATCCCCTTCCCCAGCATCCCCTCTTCCAGCATCCCCTCCCCCAGGGGCTTACTCAAACGACAACTCTCTCCCTCCATGGCAGCCCCCCTGCCTCCCAGCCTCTCTGCATGCCTCTTCTACCTCTGTTTCACTTTCGCAGGTTGCTCATTCACCACGCCCTAGCGCCAGCAACATACCTCTCACCTGGACTCATGCTTCTCGAGACGAGCACATGAAATGGGTAGCCTGCTGGTTGCTTTTGTGACTGCACCAGTAGGGCAGCAAGTAAGCTACATGCAGATGCATAGAATATCCAGGGGAACGGTAAAGTTTATTTGACTTGCCTTGATCCTGCCACGGTATTATCTCCAGATTTGAATCCATCCTCTCTCCTCTCTTTGCCTTTGTTTCCACCGTTAGGCTGGATGTGGCTACAGGTCTAGACCGTGTGTAGATGAATATCAGACTAAGAATATGTTGGGAAGAGTAATCCCCAGGATTAATTATCAGAATGAATGGATCTCATCAGTGCCAGTAGACAAGGTGCCATCTTTCGGTGGCATGGCGTGGGATTGTGTGAAAGGCCTATAAATGCAAATTGTCTGCACATATGCCAATTGGCCACAGAGCAGAGATGAGATGGGACATAGGTCGTTATCTGGGGGCCAGAGCACATCGGCCTGCACATGAGGGGGGGAGGGAAAACAAGAAAGTGGTAACAAGTATGTGCATGGGTAAAACCATTTACCCCCCCATCAACCTGCAGCAGTGGTGTGACGGAGTGCAGCATGTGGGGCTTGTTCCGTGCCGTGGTGACATGACTGGTAAGTCATGGAGATGGCTGGAAACCTACCGGGTAGGTGGCAAGGCCTTCAGGTACCAGCTACATGGTGTGTAAAAAAAGGTCGTAAAGAGCAATTGAGATCCCGCCGCAGTTTGGGCCTGACAGGCTGACGTGGCCCGGTCTAGAGATGGGTGTCAATCAAAGGCACCTGCACCCGTCAGCCCCCAGGGATCACACCAGGGCAGGTGAGTGTGTTATCACCATCACTACTGCAGTCAGGCTGCAGCATTCTCAAAACTCACTCAGTGAAGTCACAAGCTGACGCTGGCGATGGGGACGGGGCAAAGCAATCCTATGGCAGTGCATAATAAAATCTGGGTAATGCAGTAGCCACCATCGTAGGAAATTCACAGGGCCACATACATGTTCTAGAAGTGTGAGATGAAACTAACCAAGCAAGCGGCCAGGTAAGGCCAGAGCTGGTCGCCGTGGAACTGGTGCGTCCATGTGGCATTGCCTCACGATGTCCCTCTCATGTCTCCCAGCCCGTGATGCCCCTCCATGTCCAGTCATCCTCGAATGCGAGTCCAGTCTCATGCGAAGTAGCACGCCACTCTCGCATGATATCGTCTACCCAGCTCCAGTCCATAGGCCCCAGCACTTTGTCATGCCTCCCTCGACGCACTCGCGTGGCGTGACGTACCCGGATCTTGTAAGCCCGCACAAGACGATCCATGCAGTGGTTCCAATGTAGAACCGTGAGCCCAATTCGGGCCTCAAAACTACCTTGGAAACGGATTCTTTTGGGCGCATACTTGCATATTAGACTATGCAGTGACTCGTTCACGGAGCTGCAGGCTCCTAGCACAAAGGGCGCCATTTGATCCGGCCCAAGATTCTTATCAAACCAGAGCCGGACTGCAGCATGCGTGGCAGATCCCTTTTTGTATAGCGCATTCTCTGTGCCCCACCCCTCTGATACGCACTTTGGAACCACCCCGTCTTTTTGGCACCGAGAATGGTCACCAGCCCAATGGTCCACAGCCAAGCAAACCTCCTCCGACACTTCCTCGGGTGTGCGGGTGCATCCGTCTTTAGCTTTAGCCGCGTTCCTCATCATGACATGCCAAAAGTGCACCCCGAGCCTTTGAGCAACGGTCATTCCTTGGGGTTGCTTCTGGGTTGTGCTGCCCTCGCCAGCCTCTGAGTTGCTCGTGTGTGCTGCTTTAGACCGCCGCTCCCTGTCCACCCACCTCCTCTGATGCGCGGGGACTGTGTGCCCACCCGGCTCTCCCACCCCTCCCTCTGCAGCTGCTACACCACATCATAGAACAGTACCCCAAGTTCACCATCAGCCACATGAAATTCTACACCTCCATCAACTAGCATACATACAAACCAGCAACCAACTGACCAACAAGCCAGCCAGCGGAAAAAACATCAAACAACCCAAGAAGACCAGCATTTTGGGCCCACATACCTTGCACCAGTGGAATCGCATTTGGGCTTTGTTGCTTGGCACGCAACGACTCTAGTTGTGCAAGGTCGCCCTCTTCTGACGCCACTTGGATTGCTAGCATGCTGGCTGTGGACTGCGGACGGGTGCCAAGGGTGCAATGGGTATCATATGCCCATAAAACATCCACTTCATGCCATCGGACCACAATTGCTTCATCCGCCATTTCACCCTCTCCAAGGTCCGCCACACCACCCCCGTCGCCAGCCGTAACCCCACCGCATCCATCCCCATGCGCGGTACAATCCACAAGGCCTTCCGCAAGCCTTACTGGGACGGTAACAGCACAGGACGTTGTATCGTCGGCCGCCACCACCTCCTCCCCGCCCTCCTCTCCGAGCGTAGCAGCGTTTTTGTCGCCGGTAACATCTCGCGCGTGTACCCGCAGAGCTTGACGCAGTTCCGGGTACTTGTACTTGGCGATTGACTCAGCCACCACCTCGTAAGCAAATTTCCCCATCTTGCCACAAACGGCCTGAACTAGCGTGGGCTTGTTGCTGCTCTTGTTAATCCCAGATGCGAGTGCCTTTTCATCGTGTAGCCACTTAAGCAAACGCTCCTTGCTGGCACACCATAAGTCAGTTATTGTTTTCACATCCTCCATGCGCATCTCGCCCTTTAATTTGTCCTGCATATCTGTTCCAAAACCCTTCTCGATCGAGCGCCTCTTATGCCACGTATCTTGCTGATGTTGTATTCCAGTGCCCCTAACTGCCGATTTGAAGGTAGAACCCTCATCCGATATGATGCCCCTCACTTCAAAATCGCTAGCCTTCAACTCTTCCAAGCCTCTAAGAAAGGCTTTACTCTCGAGCAAGGGTGATGATTTGCCATCCTGCCCCTTCCTAGTTGTGACGTTGTACAGCACTTTCAGAGTTTCCGTGTCCATAAAGGTGACAGTGCACCACTCTCCTTCCCGAACCTGTGACCATCGCCCATCAACACTTACATACTCGACAGGTTTGCCACGTTTGCTCATCATTGCCCTCACCTCAGCCATAGACTTTTGTGATTGCGTGATTATGGTGTTCCATAATCCATTTTCACCCCCCACCAGCCTGTAGTATGTCCTTTCGCTAGGGGCTGGCACTCCAAGTGTCCGTGACACTTCCCATATTTGCTGATGGCCTAGACCGGACAGCGCAAATGCAGCCGCATACCGATATTGCAAGTGCTGGGATGTGGGCCCTCGCTTGCCAGCGTCTGCTGGCGCTCGTGCCCGGCTGGCTGTCCAATATTCTAGACTACAAGGACATGACCCACAGCGCCAAAAAAGACCTAGACTCACCCCTGCAAATTTCCAAGTCCTCAAAGACATACTGCCCCCGCATGACCTGCGCTTGCAGTACAGCCGGACATGCTTGAGGAATGTCACTAGTCTGTACGGTTCAAACATACAAACCATGTTATGCCGTATGTCACCAAGTGATGGATTTGGTGGCCACCCTCTCAACACTGGTCCCCTTGCATGGTCATTCTCTGCTGTTGTATCAGTCTGCCTGCACAGCACTACCGCATCGTACGGAACGGTGTGATCCACCAGGGTTGGCTAGTTAGGACAAGCCCGCCAAGCATGGCTAGCATGGCCTGGTTGGTCCTCAATAACCAGCCAGGTTTGGCCAGTAAGGCATGGCCAGCCAAATATGGCTAGCCTGCTATGGCTGGTCAGGAATAACCAGCCAGGTTTGACCAGTTAGGCATGGCCTGCCAAATATGGCTAGCCTGCTATGGCTGGGCAGGAATAACCAGCCAGGTTTGACCTGTTAGGCATGGCCTACGAAATATGGCTAGCCTGCTATGGCTGGTCAGGAATAACCAGCCAGGTTTGACCAGTTAGGCATGGCCTGCCAAATATGGCTAGCCTGCTATGGCTGGTCAGGAATAACCAGCCAGGTTTGACCAGTTAGGCATGGCCTGCCAAATATGGCGAGCCTGCTATGGCTGGTCAGGAATAACCAGCCAGGTTTGACCAGTTAGGCATGGCCTGCCAAATATGGCTAGCCTGCTATGGCTGGTCAGGAATAACCAGCCAGGTTTGACCAGTTAGGCATGGCCTGCCAAATATGGCTAGCCTGCTATGGCTGGTCAGGAATAACCAGCCAGGTTTGACCAGTTAGGCATGGCCTGCCAAATATGTCTAGCCTGCTATGGCTGGTCATGAAAAACCAGCCAGGTTTGACCAGTTAGGCATGGCCTGCCAAATATGGCTAGCCTGCTATGGCTGGTCAGGAATAACCAGCCAGGTTTGACCAGTTAGGCATGGCCTGCCAAATATGGCTAGCCTGCTATGGCTGGTCATGAAAAACCAGGCAGGTTTGACCAGTTAGGCATGGCCTGCCAAATATGGCTAGCCTGCTATGGCTGGTCATGAAAAACCAGGCAGGTTTGACCAGTTAGGCATGGCCTGCCAAATATGGCTAGCCTGCTATGGCTGGTCAGGAATAACCAGCCAGGTTTGACCTGTTAGGCATGGCCTGCCAAATATGGCTAGCCTGCTATGGCTGGTCAGGAATAACCAGCCAGGTTTGACCAGTTAGGCATGGCCTGCCAAATATGGCTAGCCTGCTATGGCTGGTCAGGAATAACCAGCCAGATTTGACCAGTTAGGCATGGCCTGCCAAATATGGCTAGCCTGCTATGGCTGGTCAGGAATAACCAGCCAGGTTTGACCAGTTAGGCATGGCCTGCCAAATATGGCTAGCCTGCTATGGCTGGTCAGGAATAACCAGCCAGGTTTGACCAGTTAGGCATGGCCTGCCAAATATGGCTAGCCTGCTATGGCTGATCAGGAATAACCAGCCAGGTTTGACCAGTTAGGCATGGCCTGCCAAATATGGCTAGCCTGCTATGGCTGGTCATGAAAAACCAGCCAGGTTTGACCAGTTAGGCATGGCCTCCCAAATATGGCTAGCCTGCTATGGCTGTTCATGAAAAACCAGGCAGGTTTGACCAGTTAGGCATGGCCTGCCAAATATGGCTAGCCTGCTATGGCTGGTCAGGAATAACCAGCCAGGTTTGACCAGTTAGGCATGGCCTGCCAAATATGGCTAGCCTGCTATGGCTGGTCATGAAAAACCAGCCAGGT